AGGCAGAGTCTGGGGGACAGTGGGAAGGAGGGGGCAGGTTTAGTTCCTGGAGTGTTTCCCTGTGTATGGGAGTGGATGGTGGGTACAATCACTGTGCTGTGGATGGAAGTTTTGAAGGAACTGATGGCTGAGAAGTGGCATGGAAGGAAAGAATGGGGAAAATGATCTGCTGTTTGCCTCTGAGCATCTCTGACTCGCAAGAGGACACTGCAGACTAAAGACATTTCTTATAAAACAACAAACCTCCTCCCTGTATCACTCCTGATCATTAGTCCAGACAGTACTGGGTCAGCCACATCGGGTGCATTTCTTTTTTTCTTCCCTATTTCTGTGTGGCTGATGTGATGGGAAAGCAAGTGGAACTCATGATCCAGAGCTGGAGTTTCGTTGTCCACAGACCTTTTGTGCATCATCTGCCTCTTCAGCTGGACGTGTGGACGATGATGGTGTAGATGCTGCTGCTACTGCAGGGGTCCCGCCTGTTTTCTTGCCCTGCCCACCACACCCCAGCACGGAGGGACAGCCAGAGAGGCGCCATGTACAGAACCGCATCTATTTCTGCTTTGTTTTCTGACTCACAACCCTGCCCCAGTGACTACGACAACAACAACAAAAAAGGGCAAATGCATTTTTTACATTTCTTGATAATTTCCAAAGCAATGTATCATTGCTTTCTTTAGACTGATGCCAATATAACAGTTGTATGGGTCTCAGCCAGGCTCCTGTGTCTTTTCTGCCTGAGTTTCAGATTGCTGTATGAAATGTATGCGCGTTTGCACACAGACACAACCAGACGAGGTGACAGCACCCCAAGCCCGTGGGGTTGGTCACCTGTGTCACAGATGGAGTTGCAGACCTTGCTTTGTATGAGTAGATGAGAAACCCCAACCCACTGGTCCAGGGAGCTGAAGTGAAGCAGCCCTACTGAGACAGAACTGAGTATCCTGAGATACATCCATGACCCTGCTGTGACTGTCCCCACAACAGGGGCATTGCGGGGCAGAGGAACACTGAATGGGCAATTTGGAGCACAACAATATTGAAGTAGAATCCAGTCAGGGGTTTCTGGTAGCAGTGATATTTTATCAGTTCTCATTATGAAAACTGTCGTGCATATTAAGAAAACATTCCAGGCCATCAGAAGCCTCAGTTCCCATCTTGCTAACATGAGGCTGGAGGTCATTTAAGGCCAAGGAGGTTGTATTGATGCAAAGGATGTGAAAAACAGAATTGGGCCCTGAAAAATTTAATTGCATCTTTCCCCCATTTATTTTCTTCTTCAAAGGAGTCTAAGAAATACGATTCTCAGCAGCTGCACAGGGTTTCTTTTTTTTCTTCTTTTGAATGTTGTGAAACTTTTAAAGTTTTATTCTGGGTGAGCAAGCCCAGGGATCCAGAAAGTTTCCAATGGGACCTCAGTCCATGGAGCTTTTATCTCTGTTCCTGCTTTGTTTCTGGAAAGCTGAAACCACTCTGGCCTTGCTGCTATAGCACCCTGATATTGGGCGGGTGAGGGCAGAAGCACAGCAGGAGAGATGTCCTGTTCTGAAGACAGATTGGGCTCCAATTGCTTTCAGAAAACTCAGTAGCATGACACTGGAATGGAAAAAAAAAAAAACCCAAAAACCTCTTCTGATACAGACTTTAGTGTTCTAGTTAAATTCTCCATTCTTCTCCTCTCCCTTACGGGGAACTTGACACTTGAGCATAAAAAACAGGCCTTCTTTAGGGGCACAGGGCTCGACTCAGTTGCCTAAACGTGGGTGTCCACTGTCATTTGAGATAGCCTACAGTATCCTCTGCTAGTCTGCTGCAGCTGGTGGGGAGAGGCACAGCTCTGGCCCAGGCAGGGCTGGTGTCACAGTCCCAGCCGGCAGAGATCTCAGGTGGCAGGGGACAATTAGGCAACTTAATCAAGTCCCTTTCTAAAGGGCTAATTGACAGGAGCAGCACCAATGACTGATGTAATGAGGGAATCTTCATTAGCATTACCAAGGGCTTAGTAAGGCAGGATCAGGAGCTTGTCTTCACACTCCCATGCTGTTGTTTTTTTACCCCATGTCAGGCACTCTGCCTTCACTCCTGCCGCCTGAAGTTGGCTCTGCCTGGTTATTTCCTTAGGCCAGGATTAGCAGCTGCATCCCAGGCCCAGGGGAGCAGGGACAGGCCGAGGCAAGAGCAGGCATCACTCCACTCAACCACAGATTTTTCTGCCAGCATTCCAACAGCCCCTTTCCAAAGCTTTTCCCTATTTGAGACAGAACCACAAACTCAGACACGATTTGCTGGCATCATCATTCAGGTGATTAAACACCTGTGTTTTTCTGTTAGCTCTCTCCCAGTTAGGCTGAAATGCTTTTCAGTATTTTAAGCATCCTAAGTCAGTCTGTTCCCATCTCAAGCACCTAGGTAGACTGGCAGCCAATACTATCTAAGCATCATCAACTTTATAGTTGCTCATAGAAATGATTGTTTCAAGCTTATTTAGTCTTAACACTTTGAATGTGGGAAGATTTTGGAGGAGGAGGAGGAGTGACATTGTAAATATCTCTGACAAACATTGCTGCATCACACACAAAAAAAAAGGGGAGATACTTATAAAACTGCCTTAAAAATCAATTCCGAATGATGAATCTCCCTCCAAACAATTGCCGCTTGATAGAGCAAGGAATGAGTCACTTTGGGTGAATTCTGGCAATTCTGGTTGGAATCTAGTCCGGTTTCAGGAGCTAAAGTGTAATTTAGGAGCTGATCTCTCACTCAGTCTGAATTCACATCAGCACCAAGGACTGAGCACCGCAGGATCCAAAGGGTTTAAGTCCGGGGGTACTGTCTGTGCATGGTTTGGGTCTGGCCCAGCAGGTACTGCGTACCGGTGTCTCCCAGTGACTTCAGGGAAGATGGGGTTCCTCAGCACCTCTTAAGTTCAGGCCCTGGAGCACCATTTCCTGCTCTGATCATCAGCTATAAATGTTGATAAATGTAAGTGTTTTGCCTTCATTTGAATTGCCCAGAGCTGTAAAATGACCTCTCTCAAGTATAAATCAGTCCAGATATAAACCTCCTCTCCCACTCTTCCCTATGCTCCCTGCCCACCTTCCCAGCCCTCCCTTGCACCTCCACCCAAGCCCTTCCCTGTCTCAATTCTTTACCTCCTTCCACACTTTTATATCTAGTTTTCATGAACCCACAGAAATGCTTTTGTAAATACTGCTGTACAGTTTGTAACCGTCATGTAAGCCTGTCATCAGTGCCAGAGTCCGTCTTGCCCTCTCGCACGTTTTAAAATCAACAGAGGAAAGTTAGAGCGAGTGGCCCGCCAGTGAGCTATAGGGTCATCTCTGTGTGGGACAAATGTATATTCCTGTAAGATTGCATTTTTATCTAAGGAATGATGTTATTTTAAAATTGCTAATAAATTTCTAAACAATGTCCAGATTTGTTCAATATTGTAAATGGTATCAAAACTCCTTTGACGTTGCTCCCTCCTACCAGCGGTGGCTGAAAATTAAAGACAGCTTCCTGCAGCCCCTTATTTCCCATTGGTGGCCTGGCTGCCTTTCAGGGGCTCTTGTCCCTGCTTAAGGGGCTGCAGAACGGTCTGCACAGCCACAGCCTGCCCTACTAAACAGCAACTTAGGAAATCCAACCCCTGTCTGTATTGCTGTCACCACAGAAATTCTGACGTGTCACAATGTCCAACGTGTGACTCATGTGCAACCACACACTTAACATTTTCTCTACTGGATTCCTTCTTACCAAGCACATGCAACAGAAAATGAATGCCCTCAGCTTAAATACAGTGTAATTAGGATATACATAAGCCATGAAGCTAATGGGATGATAACAAGTAACGTTCCACATATTTGCTTGTCGATTGAGCAAATTTGTTCTACCATGGTTATCAGGAAATTACACCACGATGCCAGCTGAGCACTATGTTTGTGTTGCAGCATTATAAATCACAGTGTGCTCAGCCCAAGTACATCAGTCTAAGATTCAGTAAAAATAATGGGTTTTTTTCAGTTACACATGCATATATAAATATTTTTCTCGGACTTGCACATAACTGTCAGAACTGCAGGCTCTGCTGTTACTTTTAAATTGTGGTGGCACAAAACGTTAAAAACCCAGGAAGTGGTGAAAACCTGTAGGTGTCATCAGCACAGGGCAGAAGGCTCACCAACAGAAACCTCATTATCTGCAGGCTCCGACTGGCCACCAGTTAGACACTTGCCACCACAAAACCATAGGAAACCACCCTGCTCACGGCTGTTGGTCAAAGCCCATCAAAGTGTTCAGCTTTGCTGGAAAACTCCCTGAGCTGGCCACTCAGTTGAGTTACAGCTCTGTGTGAGACCATTTGGTGAAATCCATGGCAAAGAACAGGCGAAAGTGGCTGCGGGCGTGCTGCAGTGTGAAAACAGTGCGAAACCTGGAGGGAAACCTGTGAGACAGCTGAAGCGGGGTGACCCTCAGGAACAAGTAACAGGTTTGCAAAGTCCCCTGGGAAGCGGATGCATTTAGAACATCCCCACAAGTGGAAAAGCAGAACATACACCTGTAGTGCTTTTTGTTCAGCAGCTGCAGAGCGCGGCTGATGTCAGTTTTTAACGCTCACGGCATTTACCCGAAGCCAGACACCCGCATTGGGAGTTCCACCTCAACACGAGGAAGAACTTCTTTACATCCAGGGGTGGCAGAGCCCTGGAACAGCTGCCCAGGGAGGCCGTGCGGTCTGCCTCTCTGGAGACATCCCGAGCCCACCCGGACGCGCTCCTGTGCCACCTGCTCCAGGTGTGTATTGGCAGGGGTGTTGGAAGGGATGCACGCAGACCTCGGGACGCTCCCGCTGACCCGCGAACGGGAAGACAACCCGCAGTCCGCAGCAGGTTTGGCTCTTTAACCCCAACCGGAGCCCAGGGGCGGGGAGGAGCCGCTCGGCGCGGCCCCACACGGAGGGCGGGCCGGCCCCGGCCCCTCCTCAGGTGCGGCCCAGCCCGGAAGCGCCGGGCGGCGGAGCGGGGCCATGGCGGGCGCGGGGCCGCTGCTGTTCCTCCTGCCGCTCCTGCTGCCCCGGCCGCCCTCCGCCGCTGCCCTGCGGCTGCTGCTGGACGCTGCACCGCCTTTCACCTGCTCGCAGCCGGTAAGCGGCGCCGGGAGCGCCGGGAGCGCCGGGCCCGGGCGGGCGCGGGGAGCCGGGATGGCGGGACGGGGAGCGGCCGCCCCGTGTGGGGCGCGGGGCCCGGCGGCGTCGCTGTCCCGGGAACGCTGCACGGCTCGCTGGGCTGCCCCGGCCCGGGAAGCGCTGTCCCGGGCGATGTCGCTGTCCCGGGAACGCTGCACGGCTCGCCGGGCTGCCCCGGCCCGGGAAGCGCTGTCCCTGAGCAGGATGTGAGTCTGTGCTAAGAGCTGACGTTGCCTAATGTCCTAAAAGTTTTAACCAGTTCCTTGCAGATGAGGGAGTTTTTAGGAGTGCGTGGAGAATGAAACGTTACGTGTGCCTGAGGATTTCGAACAGGCGGATTTTGGTTGCCTTTTCTCCCTGTGAAACCGGCTGGACAGGAGCTGCCAATGCAGCGTCGCTGTAAAAAGTGAACCAATCAACCTGAACGAACTTTGAATATGAACTCCTAGCTGGTCACTCTCCCCGGTAGTTTTTGAGGATTGTTTTGGTTTTGTTTTGTTGGTCACTTTTTTTGTTTTGTTTTGAGGTGGTGGGTTTTTTTGTTTCAGATACATATAAGGAGTTTGTAGGAGGGGGAAGAGATCTGCTTTGGCTTTTTAGTTCTGTTAACAACAGCAGTGAGACAGGAAAATGGGCAGTTGTCGTCTAAGCTGGACGGCTTTATATGCCATGGTGCACTTTCAGCAGTCTGAAAAAGGCAGATAGTCAGGTACAGCTATAGACAAATATAAAACAAATTGTGTCCTTTGGGGTGAAAGTTTCTGTAATCTTTTCCTGTACACATTTCCTGTCTTTTGTCTAGTTTGACACTTCTCCTAATGTTTGACTATATCTTTAACCCTATTTTACCACACCTCTGCTCTGCTGCCTTCTGTCTTATTTAAAGAGACCCCAAGAAAACTGACCAGTTCTGCAGTTTTACTTTAGGCAGAACATTGTAGAGTTACAAAACCTAAACTTTGGCAAATGGAAAATTACAATATTGCTTAGGCATCTCACGTAACCATGGTGTCCCAAACCTTGTTAGTCACAGAGATTGACAGCAATATATTAAAGAGTCTCTGCAAGTCCTTGAGTGGCTGTGCTCTGACTGACTTTGTTTTGCTCTCTGTCCCTCTTTTTTTAGGAAATGTCACCACAGTAATTGGGTGAGGGGTTCACCTGGACATCACCAACTTTCACAGAGGAGCTGTGTTGCCCCGTGCTCTGGTGTGCACACAGAGCATGCATGAATGTTGGGCTGCTACATTGGCCCTTTCTATCAAAAAGCCAATTTCCAAAGTGCAGATAGACTTAAGAAAAAGGAGTCAGCTTAAGCCCGGGAGCAGCCTCTTTAAGCAGCTTTGAAGCTCCTGACTCATGTAGGAAAAAGCCCCATCAACTGAAGCTGTGACAGTTGAAAACAGTTCCCCCTTCCCTTTCTGTGGGCTGTGCTGTTTTCAGAGGATGATTCGGTAACCCTCCCATGGTGTGGCTGTGGTGTGGTTCAAAAGCAGAGCTGCTGCTGAGCAGGGTGGGTGAGACCCACTTCCTTTGTCTAACTCCCCGTGCTCAGGCTGCTGTTGCTGAGCTCTGGAGCAGGTCAGGCTGAGCTGTGGCAACTTCCTCAGCAAAACCCTCATGTAGTAGATGAGATGGTGGAGGGAAAGTGTCATATCAGTATCAATAGGCATCTGAAAGGAAAATGAAATGCTTGTTAACAGCTCATCTTATAAAAAAGCCAAAAAATGCACTTAATGGGCATATTCACCACCAGTCCATCAAACTGTGCTCAGCTGTAGGGCTGAATAACACAGTACAAATCCAGCTCTTACCAGTAACTATTCCTTGTATATGTCTTCTGCAGGGTTTTTTTTCCTATGTGCAGGGGGAAAAAACATCCCACAGCTTAAATACACATCTGTTTTTTCACCATCAAATGTTAAATCACTGTGTTCAGTTGTTGTGCTGTAGCTGTTTTTGGGACGTGGCGTTCCTGGGGGTCCTGGAGGAATGCAGTGTTTATAACCCTGCTGTCTTTGAGGGGCTGGAAAGCTGTACATGGCTTGGTCTCTGAAATTTATCTTGCCAGCTTTCTTCAGTGGAAGTCTCTCAAGAAGAATTGATGTAGCATCTCTCATGAAGACAAGCCATAGTGGTGCATGTGAGGACAACTTTTCCCCAGTCTCCTTTGCAAATGTGTTAATTTGGCCCTTGCTATTGACAGACTTCTGTCATTCCCCTCTGTGGCATCTTTCTGCTGTTAGGATGTTAACATAACCCATGATCACACTGAGTGCTGTTAAAATATTTCTGGACCCCTTGGCATGAAAAGGATTCGTGATCAAAACTACTGAACTTCAGCATAAAAAGGGTTACTGATCAAAACTATGCAAATATTATAAAGACAACTTTAGAACTGATTGTTATGATGAAATTTTAACATTTGAATTTTATTTGGCTGAGAATTGGTATGAGAGCGAGATAAAAAGTTAGAAACTGTAGAGAAAAATGCTTTTAAAAAGTTAAAACAATTTTGCAAAAGATGCTAATTTCCTACAAGCCTTAAACAAATCACCCTTCAGCATTTTTTCCTGTAATGTGTTCATGTGTTGATCTCTGCTTCTTTTTACTGAGGGAAAAGAAAAGGGAAACCTCAGTAAACTTCAAATCATTCAAGCCTCAGAAGATACATAGTATGGTTCAAAGGTGAAAGGCAAATTTTGGCAAGCTAGAGCCCTTCCCATTCAGCAGTCACTCCTTAAAGGAAAACTGGACTCACAGCAGTTTCTTTCTAGTTACCACAGCATCCTACTGGGAAATCTTTGCCTCACATTACTTTAATTGAATTCTTATGGGATGGTGCTGTTAATCAGTTTCCCAGGGTTATTTCATTCAGATTCAAATGATTCTGCACACATATGGTCTTTTTTATGTCAAAAGCAAAATAAAAATCATTAGAAAAGAGCGAAAGAAACAGTTGCTTACTTTTTTGTGAAAATACAGCAAGTAAACAGGAAAAGTTGACTGTGGCTGTCCTGCTGAGAGTAGTTTCAGCATCACCTCAAAATCATCTGCTTCTCATGTTTATGCCTCCCATGTCTGTAGTTTTGCTTGCCAGACCTGGTTTAAGCTCAGTTGGCAAGTAAGACCCACATAGCCACTCACTTACTCACTCCCCACCACTGGGATGGGGGAGAGAATCGGGTGAAAGTGAGAAAAATCGTGGGTTGAGATAAAGACCATTTAATAAGTAAAGCAAAAGCCATGCATACAAGCAAAGGAAAACAAGGAGTTGGTTTTTACCACTTCCCCTGGGCAGGCAGGTGTTCAGCTGCCTCCAGGACAGCAGGGATCCATCATGCATAACAGTGAGTCGTGAAGACAAGCACCATCACTCTGAACATCCCCCTCTTCATCTTCCTGCCCCCAGCTTTGTATGCTTAGTTTGATGCCTTACAGTATCCCTGTGGGTAGCTGGGGTCAGCAATCCCAGCTGTGTCCACTCCTGATTCCTGCACCCCCTGCCTTCTGGCTGGCAGGGGTGTTAGAGAAGCAGAAATGACCTGCTCAGCAAGAACAAAAACATCTCTCTGTTATCAGCACTATTTCCAGCCCAAATCCAAAACACTGCCAAACCAAATCCAAACCAGCTACTGGGAAGGAAATTAACTCTATTCCAGCCAAAACCAGCACACTCAAGTAGGGAAACTAGGTTAAATACTGCTGTTGTCCAGAGCTTTGTTAATGTTCTCTGGATGATCCAATGCATTAAGTAAGATTTTGTGTTGGTTGGACCTTACAAGGAAAAACCAACAAGTATTCCCTCAGGTGCTGAGGAGGCAGTCAGTGCAAATCTGACAGTGCTTGGCTTACTGTGCTGCAAACTGAACTGGTCTTTTGCTCTAATTGCTTCCTGGCTTTTGAATTTCATTTACTGGAGTTACACTTTTTGGTATAAAAGTGTGCCCTCAGCTATGCCCAGATGTGTTCACCTGGGTACTCTACAAAAAGGAGATGGGGGTTTTCGTGGCAAGTCCTTTCTAGGACTTGCCTTTCCTTGAGCTTCTTATACCTCTGCCTGCAGTGTGGCTTGATCTTCACTTATCTTTGCTTCCTTATGCCAATAGTGAGGACATTCTATGTGAATGAGTTGTTCTTAGAAGCGTTTTCAGCTCTTGGGTCATCCCTGTGCTTTGGGGACTCGGAAGGGAGAGGATCAAGAAGTTAATTGGTGCATTGTGATGGGAGAATCCTTCCCCTCTTCTTGTTGCAAGCGTGCTAAATGCTCAGTTAACTGATGGCAGCTTAAAACACTTCAGTGTAGTCAGCTGCACATAAAAAAAGGTTGCTGGCACAGCAATTAAACAGGTTAGTGCATGGCAGGAAAAACACACGTGTAGGCAGTCCCTTGAAAACTCTGAGTAGGGTAGGGGAAAGTTGATAAAATACTGTTGTTTTTCCCCATAGAAACCCAGTGTTGAAAAGATAAGAAAGGCTTTAATTACCGTGTCAGTTCTAAATTCTCATCGACAGATGGCTCCTCATTGAGCTCTGGAGTTTTTAATAAATGTCAGGAAGGGCACAACACATCAAAGCTGGGAACATGCTTATGAATGCTTCACCTGGGATAATAGACCTGGAGGAAGAGAGAATCCCTTTGTATGATGTGCTGGATCAATATTAAATTCATATTGATCATTAAACAAAAAAGGGGAAATGCAGCATTTCCTCACTTGTGTTGTCAGCTATGACACAGAACTCCAGCACTCAAATGAAAGCAGATGTTCAGGCTAATAATGCCTTATATTTTTTATAAGGGCTTTGTTGTGATTCCATGTACAATAATTACTGATGACTGGAACAGAACAAACACAAAATGACTGAATATTTAGTGATAGGCTTTAACAGCAATCATTACATTAGAAAAATCCCTATGGTTAGTAGCCAGTTATTTTTGTTTCCTCTTGAGGGTTCATCCCAGAGCAGCCACTCACTCTTTGTCCTCAGTGGAAAGCACTGTAGCAGTTGCTGAGAAGAAAATTAACTCCATCTCAGATAAAACCACTGCACCTTTTCACATAAGAGGCTTTGTCAGGCCACATAATTTACCTTAAAAAGTCTGATTAAGGGTCTGAAGTGTTAGGACTAATTTTTTTTATAGCTTAATCTGTTCTTCCATACAGGTATTCACAATTTTTATTTTTCTCTTTTTCAGTGATTGTAGTTAGTCAGTTTGGATTTGGTGGTTTGGTTTCATCGGCATTTTTTTTTTCCATTAATGAAGGATTTAGGTTGCAGGTGCTGGTTTTCAAGGTACCTCTATGTGCATTTGTGGTACAGTAATTGGAGTGTGGATGTGTTTCTTGTGAAGGGTGCCTGAAGGCCAGATTTATATCTGTGTGTATTGTGACTTGTGTAGCAAAAGCCTGGAAGAGATTTTCAGGTTTTATTTTTTATATAAGCATGAGGAGCTTAATGCCAAATCTTCCTGTTTTCCTTCCAAGGAACAGATACGTGAGCTGAAATATGAGCATTGATCTCTGAAGTATTTTCATTACCAAAAAGGCACAGCTGGCTTGTTCAAGCACCCTTTCCTAAAAATGTAAATAAACCTTTGGACACTAAGCCCCAAATTGACCTTAGGAAGTTGTAGAGGGTTTAAAAACCCAACTGCCTTCCCTGCTCCCTGAAATTAATTTTATGGTGGCAATGGTTGACAATAATATCCAGCTTTATTTCTCATGGCATAGGAAATGAGTGAGAGCAAACCTAGCCCTCCTCTTGATTTACAGTGACAACTTCAGGCTTCCTTCTCACTGGGATCTTGCATCACACTGACCAAGCAAGCTGACATGCTTCTCCCTGGTGACCATGGGGGCTTCCAGTATCAACAAAACATAACTGGGAGAAGCCAGGCAGAGCTCACATAACTTCTGGTTGCTTCTTTATGATCAAGGCATCTTTGTTCTTAATGAGAAAGTGTCCAATTCTGATGATTTTTTTCTTTCCTCAGCACAGTGGTGTTTGGTCATAGGTTGGACTGGATGATCTCAGAGATGTCACATAAATTGTGCCCAGGTTTCATGCCCCGTGTCCTTGGTTTTTTGATTAACAGCTCAGTCCAGTGTTTCCATCATGGTTAATTCTTCCAATCTGTGTGCATCACTGAAGTGCTTTTTCCTGCCCCTATCCCAGCACTGAGCAGAAGCAGGTTGCTGTCAATTTTATTTTGAGAGTAATATTCTTGTTTCTTTCCCCCACAGGATTTAAACTGTCTCGTAAGAAATAGTAAGTAATTTTTTTTCTTTGTTGCAGTTTTCTCATCAGATCATGCTTTTTTTTTTTTTTTTCTTTTTTTAACTGGGTTCATACAGCATGTTTTTTTCCTGCTAGAATCAGAGAGTTGTAAAGGGAACCACTGCTATCCTGCCTTGCTTTGGGAGTTTACAGTTTGATCCATTATAAGCTCCAGCTGGAAGAGGAATGGAAACTTATTTTTTTTGGGATCGAGTTTGGGGGTAGGCAGTGGCATGAGTAAAACCCAACCCAACTTGTTTAGTTTCTATTTAAAGCTGGGATCATCAGTTTTTAAAGAAATTGGAATTAAGGACAAGTTTGCCAGTAAATGTTTATTACAAGCCATTATGGTAGTACTTGATGAAAAATTAGTGTATGAACTAGAATTTAAAAAGGGGCATAGAGGGTGCAGTTGGAAGAAATTAATGTAAATTATTTGGTGTAAGAGGTCAAGTCTTAGCAATGGTATGCATCTGAAAGGCCTTAGTATAATTATGGGTAATGTTGTGAAAAACGTTCTTTAAAAAAAAAGGAAGATGTTCTGAAATTATCCATTTGGTACCTGGAGGCAACTGAGCAGCACTGCAGAGCTCCTTGACTTTTCCTTGCAGCCCTTGTTCTAAGCAAGCTCATTCCTGCCTTGTTGGCCAAGCCTGTGTCATACTGGCACAAGTATTTTTGTAGCCAGTAGTATTTTTTTGCAGTATTTTTGCTTGACTTGCCAGATCAGGGAGAGGGCTATGCTTGAAAATAACCAGATTTAAAACTTCTTTGGCAGGAGAGGGCTTGAATGGGATCAGGCTGGCTGATATTTCCCACTGGAATACAGCTTGACAACTCAGCTAAGCCAAACTAGAGCACCAGCATTAAAATGCTGTCTAAGTTAAATATTTGTATTTGGTTTAAAGTCTGCCTTATGGCTTTTGTTGTGTTTTTTTTGCTCTAGGGGAAATCTTTTGGTTTTTTTTTTTTTAGTGTTTAGTACACTCATTGCTGAAAGGTACTTTATTCTTGTCAGGCTTTTTATAGATATTTTTTGTAAAATGAGCATTTGAGGATTGTCTGATTACTCCTAAGCCCAAAGCCATACTGGTGAACTGAAGGGATAGTGCCCACTTTCCACTGTTACCATCACATATCCATCAAAATAGACCCAAAGTCTACTTTAGGGGCCTGACTGTGCTATTTTTAACATGCACTGAGAAGTCAAATGTGTTAAAAAAGCCTAAGCAGATCATGTCTGTTGAATGCCTGTCATACCTGATTTTACTTTCTGATAACTTTACAGGACCAGTTCTACCTAACACTGTGTTGACAACCATAGTCGTTAATTTAGGCAAGGCATAGCACGCAGTTGTTGGAAGCTGAATTCAGATGTATATTTGAATTTGAGGAAAAGCAGTTTGCAGACCCAAGGTAATTAACTATTGGAACAAATTCCTTGGGTATCTGATAGATTTCTTATCATTGGAAGGCTGGAAACTAGCACTAACATTGTTCTGTTGCAGCAGAAGGTTGAAGGAGATACTGAGTAAACTTGCTTGACCTGTTTAGTCTGACTACATTGATTCTGATAAGTACCACTGGATTTTAAGGAAAAGAAGAAGTGGAAGTTACTGGAATAAATGCAGATTATTACAGGCAATTTACAGAGTACTTCCATATACAAAACTGCCTTTCTGAGCTGGAAGCAGCAGTTACCCAGTTTTCCCCTCAGAATAAACCTCACCCAAAGAGCAGGTCATAATTGCAATTAAGCAGAGCTTCCTCAACCCCACTCTAAATGTGGATTTCATTTGCTGGATAGGCACTTGCATGGAGTCAAGCTGGCTGAATGTTGCTGCTTGGACTCCCTCTGCTCCAAGCAGTCTCCACGTTTCTTCTGATGTTTTCCGTAAGGAGGATGGAAAACTGGTCCCTGTGCTTCAAATAGAGTGGAAAGTGGCCACGGATGGTAAGTGGTGGTTGTTTAATTTGAGCACGGAGCAGAGGAAAAAGTAAGGATAGAAAGGAGAATTATAACTTCAAGTCATGAAAGCAGATCTTTGAAATGGGAGAGATTGGCTGCTTAATTTTGTTTGGTGGGTGTAATCTCGTCTTTGTGTGTCTTAGTAAAGCAATAATTGTCTCATTGTTGGAGCCTAAATGACTACCAATAAGTCACATTTTCTCACTCACTGAATATCTTTGTTTGTTTGTCTGTACATGGTGCTTCCCTTGCATGCTCTTGTCTAAAGTTTTGCACTGCTTTAAGGCAGAATTAAACACATTCATTTCTTCCTTCTGCAGGGACTGTGTCTGAGAGCTGTAGAGTTATGACCTCTAGCTATGGTAGTGTAGAAGCAGGTGTGGCTCAGGTAACCCAGCCATTGAACTCACCTGTGCTTGTCAGCTCTCCCACTGGGACCGTGTGTACCAAAATAAAGGCGTGTTTGCTTTGGCACCCAAGCTGCATGAGGCAGCTTTGAGGGGCAGAGCACAGCATGATACCACATCTGTGGAACTGCCAGGGGGTGTGGAAAATGCGTCACCTTCTCCTCTGCTCCTTCATTTGCACAGATGTAGCTTTGCCATGCAGGACAGCCTTTAGGCTGAGAGTGCTGTTAGTCACCCTGCATTCTCACTTTTCCAGTTATCTTTATGATGGGCTCCTCAGCACCTCAAAGCAGTTAGACTGTGGCAAGGCTAGGCACAGTGGTGCTCTCTCTGGGGGGCTGCAGCCTCTCCTTGTGCAGAGGGGAGGGAAAGGTGAACGTGTCCCTCTGTCCCTGTGCCTGCAGCCAGCATCCGCTGTCTGGAAGGGGCAGAGCTCGCCGTCATGCAGGTCAGCAGCAATCAGCAGATCTGTGCCCAGTTTGACTTCCAGAACAATTTGCCTCTTCAGGTCCGTCCGGATGGAGGCCGGGTGAGTGCAAAGGGCTCCAAATTACGTTTTCTAGTCCGTGGAATTGTTTCTGCTTTCACTGTTTTATGGCAAGGTTATTGATTAAAAAGTACAGACTGCTTAGAGTCTGTGCTGGACTTGGGATCTGCTGTCATTTCCCATTTCTCTTGCACTCTGCCCATCCTTCAGGTTTTAAGAATTGCTGCTTTTAGTTGCCTGGCATGTTTCATCACTCAGGAGGTTGCTTAAAGCAAATAATTGTAGGGGTTCTTGCATTCTGCTTGAGAGTATGACATTTTATGCTTTTAAACTCAACTCTTACTATTGCTTCCACTTATTTCTTGTACTCTCTTGTGGAGGAAAGCACCAACCTTGGGGGTGGCCGTTCAGATTACATTCCTTCTAGGAAACTCATCAGAAAAATGCTGAGCATCCACAACAGTGAGGAATACAAACAATAAGGAGTTCATTCCTTAATCACACCGAATTTAACCATAGTTACCTTACCACTTACCAGCACCACTCTCCCAGAGTGCCTCTCCCAGAACTTGCACAGCATTGCTGATGCAGAAAACAGTATAGATTTACGAATGTGTGTATGGAATGGCCAGGTACAGAAATACATATGTATAAATGCAATTCTGAATGCTTAGCACTTGCAAAGTGCTACAGAATTCACACTAGACTGAAATTTCCATCTTGAAACTGCTTATTTTATTCTAGTCTCCTTTCAGTTCAGAATGTAGTTTGGTGGAAGTTCCACACAGTGGAACACACTGGAACGCAGTGGTTTGGCATAAAACTGTTGTATCAGCTCAAAGATCCCAAGAAAGAACTAATTCTAAACAGAAGAATTGAGTCAGACAAAGAGACCAGGTATATTTAATACACTTGAGTTCCAATTTTTCATAGTCAAGCTTCAGTTAAAGGATTACATGGGATGAGGGCCAAGTCAGCTGTTAATTGCAGTGGAACAGGGCCAAGTCAGCTGTTAATTGCAGTGCTTAGAGAGCAACATTGTCCTTTAAAGTCCTTGTGTTTTGTTTGTAGTGGAATTTCACTTTTGACCGTTTTGAAGTAGAACCTGGCCAGACTTACCAAGTGACTGTGTATCACCTGCCCAAACTGGGCATAAATGGAGACTACAATTGCAAGTCCACTTCTCTCACAATGCCTGGTAAGAGGTGATTTAGTTCACTTATGCCTTGAGTTTAGGAATGTGGTGGTTTGTGGGCCTCTGGCAGGAATGTGGGGGTTTGTGGACCTGACATCGCTGCTGCTTTTACTTAATTTTAAATCTTTCAGAGCTGCCCCTGTGCTTGTGGCAGCTGGAAGTACTGAATTTCCAAATCACAAGTTTGGCTTCTAGTACTAAATCCTAGACATGTGAAGTTCAATTTCAAAGGCACAGTTAAGCATAATTTACCAAGAAACTTGGTAGTGCTGGGTGCCTGACCCTTTCTTGTAGATGCAAAAATTTTCCTATCGCTAAAAGAATTTTTACTGCTCCTCAAGGTTGCTGAGCATCTGCAATCCCTCTGGATGCACTGACTACTTCATTAATATTTGGTGCTTAATACAGATCTTGAAAACTGGTTCTTAAATTTTTTCTTAGCTTACTTATAGTTGTCAAGCTGACTTTGTAGTTATAAAATGGCAAAGTGTGGAGCGTGTCAGTCAATGTGAGTTGGAAAAGGAGAAGGGAGCACTTCATTTTCAGTGCTCGTACCCTTTCTTCTGCTTATTCACACTAAGAACTTCCTGGCTTTTATCCTTTATTACTCTTCAGAAACCTAATATGTGGTGTTAAGCTCAGCAGCTGCAGGGAGTTTTGCTGATTAGAGCCTACACATGAATTATATTGTAGAGAGACATTGTAAATTTGTAAACTTTGTAAAGTTTAAATTGGTAACTTTGAAATTGGAAATTTAAGATATGAAATGTTTTCTCTCAACTGTCTAAGCAGGGAGTTGTTACTTTTCCTTTGTCCAAACCCTGGAGGAGAGACATAATTTAAGGCTGAGAGTTGTAAATCCCACATTGCTAAATGTTGAATATGTAATTCCGGATTTAACTCCGAAGGAAGTCCCAAAAAGCAGAGCCAATCTGCTAAATAAAGGAAATTAGAAATGTGGAAGAGTGTTTTAAGATTAACAAAGATTCCAGCCTCCTGATTTTTCTATGTCAGAATGCCTTTGGAGAAAGCTATTGCTGAGGAGTGATTACAGGGTGTGGGGATGAAGTTTTAATTCCACTATTGTGACCTTTTCTGCACCAGTACATTATCACTGTATTATTAAGTGTGCTGTGGTTTTAGTTTCCTTCATTTTCTCTGTTCTGAGAAGAAAAAGAAGCACCAAACACACCATGACATGAGTGTAGGGACTGTTTTATATGCTGGAGACCAGTATTGTTCTTCTACAGAATTTTACCACTGCTTTAGAACAAAGGTGTCTACTCGTTTAGGAGAGCTTGGTTAGGTCTCTGTCTTCTAATAAAGAAATGTAGTTTTTTCCCAAAAGGAAGTACAATATTTCTGACTAGCTACTGATGGTCTTTCTTGCAGATTGCAGGGATTCTCTGATGAAAAGAACCATCCCATGTATAAAAACAGGTAAAAATTTCTGAGTCACATAGATGTGGGTGCTCTGTTGGAATATTTGACAGTTGAGAAACACAAGAATATCTGCCCTACTTCCAGGCAGCTTGTGGGAACCCAGGATCCAGGGTAAAAGTCTAGATGATGCAACGCTGCTCGTGAGCTTCCACCCATGGATGGAGTCAGCTCGGTACCAAATCCATGTGGCCAGTTACCTGAATGAGAAGAGATGTAAAATGATCACCCACGATTTCACTGAGGTAAGTCCCTTCCCAAGTCATACCTTCTCTGGAGATTTAGGCAAACAACTTAAATGCTTGCTAAACCAGGACATTTGAACAACAATTTTCAAGGAATTATTTTTTAAATTTTCTTTGGAAAGAGAAATTTTATGGATAAAAGATCAAAAAAGAGGTTTTATAATGCATGAAGCAGCCTATAAACACCTGCAAAGTCAAATTTTATGTTTGACTATCTGGGCTTTATTACCTTTTTCAAGCCAGTGCCTGGGGAGCTAAGACTAAGCAAATTAACCAAAATTAAGATGCTAAGTTTCAATAAATCATTGAAGTACTTTATCAAAGATGATCACAGGAAGGTGTTAATTAAATCTTTTATATAAGAATGAGTGATTTACTAACAGATGCTTCATTCAAGCTGAGAATCAATTTCTGTAGGTCTTGCAGTCTGTGTTGCTGAGAAGCTCAAAGTGTCCAGACTGTGTTCCAATATAAAAAATGTTTCCCTTCAGGCATTTGAGGGAGGAGAAATACTGATCATTTGGAATCACTCTCCACTCTTCCTTGCATGAGGGCAGATATGCTGGCATTCAGTTTGTTTAATCTTTCTATTCCTTAACACTTAAACCCCTTAGTTCCTTAACACTTAAAACCCTTGTTTAGTCTTTCTATTCTTTAGCACTTAAAAGCCTTGCATGCACTGACTGATATGTTTAAGCTATCACTGACACAGATGGGACAGCTGTGTGAGTATTTCCCTGGTGGAGGGGAATACACCTCATTTTGGAGTTTGTATCTGCTAATCACTGTGAAGAATTAGGTTATTGTGATATTGATTGTGTACAGCAGGTAGCAAGGGCAATTTACATGCCTGTTCTAGTGTCAGAAGTAGTGTTGGCAGGTGCTTTTAATTAAACAAGGAAGCATGTTAATGTCTACACATTACAAAGCTGAAGACCTCTGCATTGTTAAGAAACTGTAAGTTTAACTCCTTTGAAGTTGTACGAGATACATCCCTAATTATTTCCTGTTACCTGTGCAATCTTGGCCTGCTGTCTTAATTGCATTGCCATGTCTGTCACACAGGACACCTGCAGAGATGGTGGCCAGATCCTTTACCCATTCTGTTCTCTGTGGGCTTCTTGTTCAAAAGAAAAAAAATAGCTTCTGCTTCTTTGGACCACTCCATTTTATCCTGTCAGCTCTTTGGGGTTTTTTTTCCTGCTTTCATTCAGTTTTCTTCCTTCCCTTATAATTTGCATCTGATTTCTGCAGGATGGACTACAACAGCAAGTGAATGTCACAATCAAAATAGAGAAGAACATAAAAGCTTGCTGTAGCTACCAAGTACAGGTGAGATCACACTGTTGTCCCTGTGTCCTTCCTTCACAATTAAGGCAGTGAGCACCTTAGGAATGTTAGGGGTTTTTTTTTCACAGTGTTTTGTTCTGAGATTGGCTAATCTGTAATTACCTGCATCAGGAAAATATTATGGCTAAAAGAATTTTTATATAGGTATTCTCTGTAGTTAGTGGCTTTTCCTTAGTACAGGGCTGCCAAATCAGAGATTATGGGAGTGAGAATGGCAAATATGCAACCTCAGGAGCTCACAGCCTTTGTCATGTATCGTGTAAGAATGCTTGATTAATCTTGTTTTCTGAAGGGAAGTGGGAATTCTATGTCTCTGTGCTAAAATACAAAGAACATTGAGGCAAGGAGAAAGTAAATCAGGGAACAAAATTTCTTTTAAGAATAACTTCTGTTTTCTGGATTATTTTCAATTGCAGATTCAGCCATTCTTTGCAAACTGTGGCACAGACTGTCTGAGACACTCTGCTTTCATCCCATGTGAACCACTTCCAAGTGAGAACCACTTCTCTGTAGATTAGATTCCCATTGTTGTACAGCTGAGAACTGAATTTTTAACATAACTCTTGTCTTTTGCAGGTACAGAACCATCGGGTAAGAAGTTCTTCCAATACCCTGAAACTTTTTTTGCTGCTCTTCTCCTGTTGTGTAGAATTAGAAATAATCCTTCTTGCTAATGACCCAATGGGCATGAAATGTCCCTTGTTGGAATTTGTGGGTATTGGTGATTTTGAGATTGTAGAAAGTCTTTGTTTTTTTGTTTTGTTGTTAAAGAAGAAGTTATAATTTGTTTGTGTTGTTTTTAAAGTTGTTTATTTTTGCTTATTTATAACATGTTTTGCTGCTTTGCTGTAGGTTTGTCTTGTAGGGTAGCGTGTGGGGCTTTGTTTTTTAGTGGGATGGTATAAACATCATATATTAGAAACTATGTGTATTATATTTATAATAATGTGTTAATATTTATTATTTACGTCGAATAGTGTGTTTTTAGCTTAAACTAATAGAAAAATGCTAACATTACTAAGAATATGGAGGTAAGGAAGAAGAAGGAGGAAGAACAGGATTAGGCTTACTTTTTTTTATTTTAGAATTTTTGATTTTTATGTATAAAGTAAAACTCCTTTATATAGGTACTAAAACTCTTTTGTACAGTACTAAAAAATTTTTCCCTCTAATTTGTGACTACTTTTGCTATACCATCTAACTCTCTGTGACCGCTTGTTCCACCTTCAAAGTTGGTAATTCATTCCATGGTTCAAACTCAAGATCACAGCTGTTTTCAGCTGCTTGCCAGGGTCTAAAATGCTTTTGACCAAGGCCTGGAACCTCTGAAAATGTCTGAGGGACATTTTGAGTTCCGACATCCCTGTTGAAAATTTTATATTATTTGAAAATCGTGAACCACCCATAGATGGTGCACATGTGGTATATGAGCTGTACCAACCATATTGGGAACCCACCAAAACTCCCACTGAAACCTCAGAGGATGTGAAGATCAGCACTTGGCAACCACTTGGTAAAAAAACACCAAAGCAACAAAGACCAAGCAGACCCCACACCCTAATAAAGCTCTTGGTCTGGACTGTCATGTGAGGGATGGAGAGTTTAGGTTTATAAGGGTTTCATTGTTCAGGGATTTCTTTGTTCTTCTTTTGAGCCACCAAGTTCACCCAGCCAGGTGTCATAATCAATATGTGCAATAAATCTCTCTGATGGAGATGAGAGCCTGGTGTCTAAAATTTCTTTAACAGTCCCCTTGTAGCACTGAGTTCAGAATTAATTGTGTTAAGCATTACTTCACCATGATTTAATGAGGCAAGTATTTGTATGCAGTGTGAACCTTAAAGAGCAATTTTTTGAGAGACACTTCACTTGCATAGAATTCTTTGAGAAGCAGTTTTGACAAGGAGAGTCTTAATATAAAATACTTTCTGTCACTTTGCTCAGTGTTAAAAAATTTGCATAATATAAAGCAGCTTTTGGAGAGAATAGCATGCATATATTCATTTTTATGAATGTCAAGATAACTTGCGCATAATGATTTGACATCTTTTTCTTTGGCTGCAACACCTGTAAGGACCTTTTGCCTGAGATTAAAAAAAAATTTAAGAAGGAAAAACACCTGTAAACTGAAATTCATGACCCAAAATAGTGAAATTTAGATTTTTTTTAAACTAGATTACATGAACAGGCAGGACATGGGTGGCATGCCTGTCAAAGCTGGGTAAACATTGCTATTTAGAGGAAGGTTCTTGATCTGTGTTTTCAGTGTGCTGCACATATGGTTCTTTGTGTGGAGCAAGTTAATGGTGTACAGCAGCACCATGAAAGCAGGAATTGGTTTGGAGAAGTGACTGTGGATTCTAAGGGGGAAGTACTGGTCTACTCAGCAAAGCCAGGGTCCTCCTCCCTTGTCTTCTGCTGCTCGAGAACCTTCTGCTCTGTGGTGAAACTCTGTGTAAGACAGTGTCTGAGGAGTGGTTTTGTTTTGCAGATGATACGATGATATGGCTCTACTGGTGTATCACCGGGATCTCTGTGTTACTGGTAGGGTCAGTCATAACAGTTGTGCTGTGCATGACTAAAAAACGAGCAGGTGAGACTCATACCAGCCAGGAAGAAAAAATCCAATGCTAAAGAATATTTTTTTCTCTTTCTGTACCTATTCTATTGCAATTTTGTTCCTTGCTGTTACAATGTTTTGCCTCTGAGATAATGCCTGTGAAAACATCTTCTGTTTTACATTATAGGATTGCAATGTCCTTATACCATCCACTAGATAAGTAAAGCCTTCCACAGGTTATCCCCTCTGATGCTCCATGTTCATAGCACTTCACAGTTCATGAGAGGAAAAAGGAATTTCATAGTTCAGCCCTTTGTTTCCTGCAGATTGCTGCAGATTTTTGCACTTACTTTCCCCCTGCATTGCATAAGAGTGTTGCAGAACAGAAGTTTCCTGTTTGTCCACACTGTTGTCTTCCCTATGTTCTCCAAAGTCTTTGAAAAATTTATTTTATACTATTGTGAGATTAGATAAAGTTTTTCAATTGAAGTGGAAGGGATAAAAAACATAGGATAGAGACTGACATCAAACAACTTGGAAAATTTGGTACTTAAGGGCTTATTCCTAGTTTCCTGTGCTGCAGCCATGAGGCAGTTATCTCAGGGAAGTTGTATAAGTCACTGCTTGTTTTGTTTTCTTTTTACATGACAAGAAGAATTGGTAATCATTTGGAAAATTTCGTAACATCAAACTCATCTATAAGATGCAGCTAGGGACATTTTAGTCACCTCTTCAGAAAAGCTTCTTAAGAAACAGATGCATTTTAAAAGCCCCTTCTCCTTAAAGAGAGGTCACAGAGCAGTTGGGGATTCTGACTGCCAGGATTTGGGGAAGATGGTGAAAGTTCATTTTGAGTGCATTGTCTCCTCTCAAAGGAAAAATATAGCAATAACTGGCTGTAGAAGAGTTTTTATTCATTCAGTATGTTTTTTTATTAGGCTTCTCCCTCCTTACACCTTTATCTCCCTAAACAGTTAAAGATTTTTTTTAACCTAATCTGTGGCAGGTGGTGTGATTTTAAGCATTTAATCTTACTTCATGTTTTCAGAACTGACAGTGGCCATCTCTCTTTCAGAGCGCCGGCGAAGGAAATGCAACCACGACAGTTTGCAAGCTGGTAAGATGCCACCTGTGTTATGTCAAGCACCTGTTATGCAGGTCTCACAAGTTGCACAGAAGGGGCTTTTGTAGGCTCTAACTACTCTGTAGATGCTTCTTGAAACCAAAAGTTAGCCTTAGGATCTTCCTGTTTAGCTAAAAGAAGCCGTGTATATGGAATTTGGAATGCTGTATTTGTGGGATGGGAGGTAATTGCTTTGGAATGTGGGGACACTTTTGACCCAGCCGAGGCTGTACTAGCAGAAGAAGCTTTGCTACTCATCCAGGCCATAGCAACAGGAGATTGGTTTGGGGTGGGTGCACTCAGCTCTCCACCAGAGAATACAGCAATATTTGCAAACATCTTGAAGCTGCTGTAGTGTTTTTGTGAGGTGAAAGCTGATGAATCATCTGGGCATTATTATAATTCACAGCTCCCCTGTGTCAGTACTTTCGTATCAAATTTACAAAATGAGATGATGTCCACATATGTTGCCAAAATAGCATTAAAGCTTAAAAAGTTTTGTTAATACCCTCCTATGCTGATGAGTGCTGACTCACACCATTCACAATTTGGGGAATGTGGCTGTAATTAATATTTTTCTGTCTTCCATCAGCACCGCACACCGAGCTGTCCCTGCCGCCCTTGAAGCTGCGGAAGGTTTGGATTGTGTACTCTGCTGATCACCTGCTCTACGTGGACGTGGTGATGAAGTTTGCCGAGTTCCTGATGACGGTCTGTGGCACTGCTGTGGCCTTGGATCTGCTGGAAGACCACCACATCTCGGAGCTGGGGCCCTTACCCTGGCTCACACGGCAGAAGAAGGAAATGGAAGAGCTGTCTTCAAAGATCATCATCTTGTGTTCTCGGGGCACCCAGGCCAAATGGCAGGCCATGCTCGGGAGCGAGCCTGTGTGTCTCAAGCAAGATCAGCAGAAGCCAGTGGGAGACCTGTTCACCCCAGCCTTGAATCTGATCCTGCCAGATTTCAAGAAGCCAGCCTGTTTTGGAATGTACATAGTTTGCTACTTTGAGGGAATAAGTACTGAGAGAGATATACCCGATCTGTTCAATGTCACATCCAGATACCAGCTGATGGACAAGTTTGAGGATATTTATTTTCGGATTCAGGATCTGGAGAAGTTTGAACCTGGGCGGATCCATCGAATCCAGGAAATCACAGCTGAAAATTACATCGATACCCCCAGTGGGAGGAAGTTGAAAGAGGCCATAGAGACGTTCAAGAACTGGCAGACTGAGCACCCAGACTGGTTTGAGAATGAAACCATCTGCTTGGATAGTGATGAAGAGTTGCATTCCCTGAACAGAGAGAGCCAGGTGGATTCACTGCTGAGTGAGCCAGGTGGAATTGTGAAACACCAGCTGCACCTACGTGAGCCTGACCCCGGCTGCTGTTACACCATCAACCTCCACATGCATGAAGGTGAAAGTGCAGGCTGCAAGCTGCAGCCTCAGCTTAATCCATGTGGGGATCCAAATTCCCAGACTGTGGTCCTTCCTATGGATGTTCCTCCAGTTCAGGTAGTGGAGCCAGTCTCTTCCATGGAAGATAGAAATATACTCAGTCACCATGTGCTGAGCAATGAAGACTGTATGGAAGGAGTTCCTCTTCTGGAGACAAGCTTTCCAATGAGGAATAACGTCATCCTCCATGATGGCTCTGAAGCTTCAGTAGCTGACCAGAGTCCTGCAAACTTGTCAGATGTCCTGAGTGACCATCTGAACGGACTCATGTACCCTCTTTACCAGCAGAGTGTCATTCCTTCGGAGCCCTATCTCTGCCAGGGGGAGGCTGATGAGCAGAACCAGCTGGTCTTTGTTGACCCATGCAAAGACCAAAGACAGTCAGTGCAGTCAGACCAGGGCTACATCTCCAGATGCTCCCCTCTGCCTCCTGAGGACCTTCTAGAGGAGGAGGAGGAAGAGGAGGAGGAGGAGGATCAGGAACAACAGGGGGGCTTCCACGAACTCTCTCCAGAGGTTTTGAACAGCCTAAAGAGCCTCCAGAAGCAGCTGTTTTTCCAGGACATTCAGAGGCGCTCTAGCTGGAGCTATCCTGCAGAGGTGATGGACATTGACCAATCTTTGGAGGACTGTTAGGCTCTGCCTGGGACCTGTTCTGTTTGAAATACAGGGATGGAAGGTGGTCCCATGCAGAGTAGTACTGAGACTGCATTTCCAGCACTGCCCAGCAGACATGGAATGTTGCCTCCAGTCTCTGTGGAGAGAAGCCACGAGTGTTGGCCACCCCTGTGAAAGAACAGGCAGTGGTTCTGTTCCTTGGGGAAAAGTATTACACTGAATTCTCACTGATGGATGGCAGAAAAATTACTGTGGCTCATCCACTCGTGCCTTCAAAATGTCCTCCAGCTGTACTGATTCTGTTGCACTGGATAAAAAGTCGCAGGCATGGTTTAGAAAATAGGTTTAGATAACATGGTGACAGTTGCCATTTTAATGCACATTTTAAACATTTCCTTGTAAATACTGTATTAAAGATGTGTGCCTTAAATTTCAGCTAGATTAGGGCTGTCTCTGCCTGGTTGATAAATGTGCCTAAAGATTTTTCTTTTTCCCCCACTCATCATTCATTTGCAGCTGCATTTCCATGGTCATTCAGAAATCAAGTGGAACAGCTGATAATAAGTGGGATAAACATTTAAATTGAAAGTTTCCATAACTCTTCCTGCCTCTCAACTTGGAGGTGTGTGCTTGAAAACTAGCAACAGCAGTGAAGGGAGAAGAGACCAAGAAATGGAATTTGGGGTTTTTTTGCAGGTTTAAGAAATGTGGGGAAGAATCAGGGGAATCTGGTGTATTCTGTGACAACACTGCTGCAGTGCTGTTTGCTGTTGGATATCTTAGCACCAGGAAGATGTGAACTGAAGATCTAGATAGTGACATACAAGGAAATAAAGGACTATTTTGGAGGAGGAAAAACTGTAGCCTCAGCAGATGCTGTTTTAGAGTAGAAATTTTATCTGAGTTAAGGGAGGCTGAGCAAAAACGACTGTAAGATGTACTTGTGTGGGTTTAAGCTCAAGCACAGGTAGTTCAGGCTAACCACCATGAAATACTGAACAGACTAAGGGATTCATCTTCCAGGAGCAGTGATGGTGAGGCTGGCATTTACCCTGTTTCTTATCACTGTTCCTGCAGCCCACTGGATAACCACCTGTGAGATGTAAATACATCCAGGCCTTTCTCCTTTGTCATCTTCCCATCCAGCTAAGTTTACTTGTCAAAAAATTTTTTTCTCAGCTTTTTCAAAATCTAATGTTTCAGAAAAGAATCTATTATTTTGTCTTGCAATTTATTTTGTATTGTGTGTATTTTATAATTTTGTGTCTAACCTGTGGGGTTTTCTCCTTAAATTAAAAATCAAGAATATTTTTTTGATATATTCATTTAAATACTTCTGTGTCCTCAACTCTGCCTAACTCCTTTTGTTGATTTATATTAAGTTCTTAGTATTTGTTACAGAAATCTGAGGCAAAACTGAGCCAGAACTGAACTGGCTCATGAATGTCAAAATATTCCTGCAAAGCACAGTATGGAGATGAGCTGGACAGAGCTGAGGGCCTGGAGCCATGGGAAGCACACATCCCATCAGAAAGGTAAAGGAACTATTTGTAATTTCCATGCAGGACTCTTAGGATGGCTTAATGACAAAGAGAGTCCCTGCAGAAGTCCACACTTAAGGCTGGGAACCTTTCTGCTCCAACAGGAATCCAATCTAATCCAATGGGAGCTAAGCAAGAGGCAGCTGTGATCTCAATGCTTCTCCAATGAGAACCCATTTCCCAGATTATGTCAGTAATTGCTATCTTGATGATCCCACTTCTAAAAGTTTCTTTTATCTTACAGCAATTAACATGTAAATCTGATTTTTTTTTTTCCCCATGAGTCTTTTTCAAGTGGTATGAATTCATATAAATCACTTAAATAGGAAGCTCAGAAGTGTCATCTGAATTTCCTTGCCTTAGTCATTCCCTTCTCAAATAACTCCCTTGGTGTTACAGCTCTTAGAATTTGCTTTCACTTACAAAAAGTTTGGTTGAAGGGAAAATCCAGACACTATTTTAGCAATCCAGTATGAGAAAAACAAGTAACTTTAATGCATCTGTGGTCTCTATTCAATACAAAACTGAATAGACCAGCAAGAATCAGAGGGGGAAAAAGGAACAAAATCAGCCACAAGTTTCTAATTTTATTTTAACAACCTTGCTTTTTAAAAAATACAAGTTCTGATTAATGCCAGGGGGATGCCAAGTGTCCATCAGCTACAGGCCTTATCTCTCACTTCCGTTTCCCCTCCTGGGAGTAGTCATCTCTTTTGTCAGGATAACAAACAAAGAGCAGTAAAATGCTAAATAACTGAGTTGTTTAACAGAATCCCAAGGGACCTGTGTCTTAGTATGGCACAAATTCGTTCAGCAAAGTGTTACTGACCTGGACCAGTAATTTAATGTTGGCACAATGTACATGAGTTGTGCAAGGTGCATGGGGAGAGGTACTGTTTGCACTTTCGTGGTACCACCATCTCTCTTCTGCAAACAGAAAGGTTTAAGTGGAAGCAAGAGCTCAATTACCAAAGATAAGGGAATTCAAGAGGAGGAGCAGGTTTATAAACAATGAAGATCTTTAAATGTTTTTTTCATAGTAAGTAATTGCAGGAGCAGCAGCGCTGCCCTTTTAGTTGCAAGGGGGTTTCTGTATGGCCAACTACAAGAGCTTTACACTCTCCAGACAGCACATTTCCTAACAACCTAGAAACCATGGCACCACAAAGAACAGCTTTTTCTACAAAGGAATTCTATGCAACACAAGTGTCAATTTGCAAGGTCTCGTGTGTCCCAAGCAACCTTTTCATCCATGGAAAAATCTGAACTGTGAGTTCACTGCCAATAGGTTAAATATGCCATGGCCGCATGAATTTCAAATATGCCATTTTTCTCAATAATATCCTAACTGGAAAAAGGCACTCACATTTGAACCAGCAACATTGTTATGGGCTATGAAAGGGTACTGAAGTAAGACTCATTAATAATTGTGCTGTGATTATTTTGATGTCTCAGCTATGCTCATGCTTCAGTGTATTAGGGATTAGCACTTTAGTGCTATTGGGAACTTGGCCATAGGAGTAGCCAAACATAGTTGGCGATGAAAAGCCTTTTTTTTTCTTCAGCTTGTTTTTGGCAAAGTTGGTTGGGGATTTTTTTTTTTTTTCCTTCAGCTGTTTGACTGAATAATAGAGTAGTCCTAGGTTCAGGTATCACCTTATTCTCTCTTGAATAATTATTTCTGAGCTTCTACTACCTATTTAATGCTGAAAAAGGAAGGTGCAAGGAAACAAGTATCTGTACAAGCATAATATGCCTGTAATTACACCTCCTTTGGCCAGGAACTTAGCATCCCCTCAACACATTTCACATCACATAGGAAAATTTCACAGTACCAAGTTTTACAATCACAGTCACTCACAGCACCAAGATTGTCCAGACAAGAAGAAGTTACCGAAGAGAAAGGCCACTGGCCAAAATTCACACAACTGCCCGTGTAAGGGCTCAGGTTAAAAATAAAGCACTGGTGGGAAAGTTAAGCCTAGCTTTTGCCAACTCTCCGTTTGGCACGAGGAGAGCAGCCAGTCACCCATCCTAGCTGCACTTCTGAACAGAACAGCTCTATTGACCCATCTTTTCTAGGGGCTTTTCCAGCCCCTCAAAACCCATCAGCCACCGAGAGCTAGGGGAGGAGACCCCCATGGCAGCCCCACTTCTGCCTCTGGGAGCTGGAAGTCACCAGACTGTAAACATTTTGTTGTAGCAGTCCACCGGAGCAGGCAGTTGATCCCACTCTGTGACAAGGGAGCTGGGACAGAGGCTCTGAAGCCCAGGTCCTGAAGGAAAGAATGAATGTGTGTGTGGAAGAAGTCTGGGCTGCACGTGCAGTCCTGCTGTGGGTAGCAGTTGGCTGTGCTTTATTTCCCCTTCCCATCAGGACAGCTTAAAAAAAAAGAAAAAGAAACTTGCAACAGGAAACTGTTGTTTTTCACAATTATTGCAGCCTTGCCCAGATAACAAAATATAAACCTGGGAGGGGCAAAGTCCTTCCTCCAAAGGACTTTGGTCGGCGTGCTCCTCCTTCCATGGGGCTGGTTTCAGGAGCAGCGGCAGCCATGCAGAAGATCAGGCCTTAACCCCACCCAACATTCATGGAGCTTAAAACCAAAAAAACTGTGTTCCTATGAGAGGTTACTAACAATTTTTCCCCACCTACCCTAAACCACATGCACACAGAGGACAGGATGCTTTCACCAAAGCTCGAGAGCCCCTCTGCCTCAAGGGCTCTTGCAGCACTTTGCTTTCTGTGCTGAAATGTGAGGTTCACTGAGCATGGAGCCCGCCCCGAGCAGTGCCAGCGTCCTCTGCTCTGCTCTTGGAGAGGGGACACTTTGCAGGCTTAGCCCCATCTCTGCTCTCTCAAGCAGGCATGGAAGGGGGCCGGAGGAAACTTTCCAGCCTTTCTGGCTGTGTAAAGGAAGACCCTACGCTCCGTGTAAAAGAAAAACCAACGCTGATCCCATAAACATGCATATTCACAGAGAAATGAGAGCCCCAGCGCCTGGGGATGCCAGCAGGAGGCTGCTGTAAACCCTGTTCTCACCAGAAATAAATGTCTTGGTGGTTATGAAATGGGGCCTAAGCCCTGGCTTATGTCCATGCTGGACTGGTTTCTTTAGCATGTGAAGTCAATGTAAGATGCAAAAGGTTGAAGCACAGAGGTAGACGTTTTGGCTAGGAGAAGGTGGCTCATGGGCTTGAAGTGACCGAGTGGCCAACATGCTTCCAGAGGTTCCTTAGCTGGTACACAAAGGCCTGGGAAACACAGGCAGCAGCTTTGCAAGACCTAGGGAAACCGAAGTGTGCTTCCTTTTGTCCTTCCCGTCCCTGGAGGCAACATCTGCTGGTCAGGCCCCTCTTGCATCTCATTATGGTGGTCAGCAGGAGTTCTTAAAGGAGGGGACAAAATGCAGTGGTCCCTGTTGAGGATGAAAAGTTAAAACTGAACCTTTTCGGTGACAAAGCAACACAATGTCCTGGGGTGGGGTGGGGGGGGGGAAGAGTGGGACCCTCCAGGCAGTGGAGGGGCAGAAGCACTAGAAGAAGTCTTGTCATGAAGGACAGGTGCGTTTTCGGGGGACAAGTGTCATCCGTAGGCTCCTGCAGGTAGTCGGGTTTGTGCGGAGCTTCCGCTGCTGGATTTGTCCGTAAGGAAGGGAGGAGGGGAACGGGAGTCTGACAGGGAAAAAACCCACGTCCCCTTCCCCTGCTCGGCCACGGCGGAGGGAACCTGAGCAGAATGCAGAGACAGAGACTCTGCCGGGAGCGGGCCCGGAGGCGGCGGGAGCCCGTCCGTGGGCGGCCGGCGGGGCTCAGCCCTGGGCTGTGACCGCCAAGGCGTTCACGTAGCCGTGGGGACCCACGTCCACGTCGGAGAGCCCGTGGGCCAGCGGGGCGGCGGCGGGGGCGGCGGCGGCCGGGCCGTACTTGGCGGGCGGCGGGGCGGCGGCGGGGCGGAGGAGGCAGCAGGTCTCCAGCGCCTCCAGGCCGCGGCAGGTGAGGAAGAAGAGGTTCTTGAGCATGAAGAGGGACAGCGGCTGCTGGTAGCGCAGGAGCAGGAGGCAGCGCAGCGCCAGCAGCGGCGCGTCCAGCAGCCCGGCGGGCAGCAGGAGGTGCAGGGCGAGGCGGGCGGCGCCGGGCGGGCGGGCGGCGCTGAGCTCGTACAGCCACAGCACCGGCGAGGCCAGGCAGAGGAAGTAGACGGCGATGAGCAGGTAGCGCAGCGGGGCGGGCAGCGGCGCCGGCCGCCCGGGCTGCAAGACCAGCTCCAGAAGGGAGAAGCTGTCGAGCAGGTCGAGGCAGGTGGCGAGGAAGGCGGCGGCGGCGCGGTGCTGCGGCGGCGGCTGCGGCGGCAGGAGCAGCTGTCCGGCGCCCTCGGTGCCGATGGCCCGCAGCAGGCAGTACAGCAGCGGCGCGGAGAGCGCCAGCGTGATGCGGAACCCGGTGGTGCCCAGCGGCAGGCGCAGCTCGATCAGCTCCAGGATGGAGGTGCCCAGGATCAGCGCCGCCTTGGGCGTGAAGGCGATGGAGTAGATGAGCCAGGCGAGGTGCGCGTAGGCGAAGTCGCCGCCGCGGGGGGGGACCCCGGCCCCGCGGCCCCCGGCCCCGCGGCCGCCGGGGGGGCCGTGCAGCAGCAGCGGGTGCGGCGGCGGCGGCCCCGGGGGCGGCGGGGGCCGCTCCCGGCGGCGCGCCCGGCTGTTGCGGCAGAAGAAGATGCCCCAGCCGGCCGCCAGCACCAGGTCGGTGGCGATCCAGCTGCACCAGTACAGGTCGGTGACGGCGATCAGGTAGAGGTCCAGCAGCGCGCCCTGCCCCAGCAGCAGCACCAGGGACAGCGCCTGGAAGCCCCAGCGCCGCCCTCCCCCCGCCCCGCCGGGCCCCAGCGGCGCCCCCGCCGCCGCCCCACCGCCCCCCGCCCCGCCGCCCGCCGCCGCCGCCCCGTACAGCTCCGCCGCCGTCATGCCGCGGCCCGGGCTCACGCCGCCGCCGCCGCCGCCGCTGCTGATGCTGCTGCTGCTGCTGGGGAGCGGCGAGGCGGCGGCGGGCAGCGGGGTGGCGGGCGGCGGCACCAGGGGCTTGCTGATGCTGCTGCTGTCCTCCTCCTCCTCCTCCTCCTCCTCCTCCTCCTCCTCCTCCTCTTCCTCCTCTTCCTCGGCGCTGCTGCGAGGGCTGCGAGGGCGGCGGGCCCGCGCCGAGCCCGAGCTCGACCCCGAGCCCCGCCGGCTGCCGCCGCTGCTGGAGCCCCTCTGGAAGAGGGGCTGCCGGTCGGCGGCGTGCGGCGGCGGCGGCGGCGGCGGCGGCGGCGGCGGCTGGAAGGAGCCCGAGGAGGAGGAGACCGAGCGCTGGTTGGAGGCAGCGCGGTGCATGGTCCTCCCCGGCCCCCGAGCCGGCGCGCCGGGCCCGACGGCCGCGCCGCGGCCCCCGACCCGCCCCCGGCCCGCCCCCCGCGCCACCGCACCGGGCCCGGGCCCGGCGGCGGCAGCGGCAGCGGTGCGGAGAGCCCGAGCGGCGGCAGCCGGCGGGGGAGCCCGGGGGCGGCGCCGAGCAGCAGCCGCAGCAGCTGCCGGAGCCGGGGCGGGCGGCTGGCGGCGGTGGGTGGGCTGGGGCTGGGGCTGGGGCTGGGGGAGAGGCTGCGCGGCCGGGGGAGGGGAGGAGGGGGGCGAGAACGGGAGGGTGAGGAACTCTCCCCCGCCCTATCCCCGGGGATGCTCCCCTTCCACACCTGCCTCCTGCCCCGCAGGAACCCCGCCAATGGGGCGAGTCGCCCATGGCCATGGCACAGCACCGCGGCACCCACTCCCTAACATCGGACATCCTTCGCTCTCCCCTGGTCTCTCTAGGCTGGCCAAGACAAAGACCAGTTGGGCTGGCACAGAGCCTACATTGAAGCGCTCATTTGTGGCTCATCTGTGCTGCTGGACATTCATCTACCCCTATATTTGGTCTGGTGTGCTTGTTCATCAAAGTATGTGTCTTTATCCCCAACAATTTTCTGAGCTGAGCCAACCCAAATGCTGAGGGCCTTGCCCAGTATGCCATGATGGGACAGAGCCTTTGAATTTATATGAATAGCTCTCGAGTTATTACTTCTACTGAAAGCAACAATCGGGACCTTTATTGACCCACTATTAATGGCCTCGAATCAAGCTTAATAGCTGGCTGCATCTGTTTATCACCAGCACTAATGGCTTGGCACGTCATGTTCCAAAGTGGCTTGGTGCTCAGCATCACCAGCTCCTCATTTGTGCCTGTGCTCACCTGTGATGAACCAGGTGCTGCCCGACAATGATGTGAAGCACAGCAAATAAACTGTCTCCACACATGTCTTTATTAACTACACTTTGCGATAAAGATCCAAAATAGCTTCACATTTTTAGCATGTTGCTGAATCAACACATGGCACTGAGCAAATGCTGCTTAATACTGGGAAAGGACATCCAAGACAGCACCAACAACCATCTAATACACATTACTGCAGGCTCCCTGAGGAGCCCTGCTCCAGTCAATGTCTCTGGCTGCTCCTGGTTACAAGGAGAAATCAGTCTAGGGTACAAGGAGGATTCATGCTTAAACTTGAAGCAAAGAGATAACTGAGTAAGGGAAAAGGAGAACATGGGGTGTATTGACACAAAGATTTCTTTGGGCACACAGCAACAATCAGGAGTACAAGCACGGGAAGAGAAACAGTCACAGCAAAAGCATTGCTGTCAGCGGAGACTGGAGCGAGGGGGTGCAGATAAATTAATTTTCTAAAAGCATGGTCAGAACAGAGGGGGAAAGAGAAGGTAACTGGAGGCTATGCAAGCTTTAATATGGTTATTTGGGCAGCACAGGACTGCAATGGTACCACATCTAGGGATAGCAACAAGCAGCTGTTCCCATGGTCCCCTGCACAGGTTGCTACCCTGCCCCTAAGCCCATGCTGCTGCATCCCTGCTGCTGCATCCCTGCTGCCACATCCTGCTTGGCTGGGCTGCAGCTCAGAGGGGGAACATCCATTTTGTGCTACACTCACACTGTTTTTGCAATGCTGGGATACACTTGCCAAAATTCAACCTTGTACCAGCACTGCCTGTACTCTTTCCTCTCAGTCCCCTTGTCAGGGTCCCCAGCAGAGATGAGACTTACACTGCCATCTAACCCAGCTTTTCTGTGGAAACCAAATCAGAAGGCACAGCTGGTGTCACTCAGACCATCTGAGCTGTCCTGACCCGGGCAACTCCCAACACCTGCCAAGAAGCATGAAAGAGTGCCAATAGAGAGCAATCATCCTCCTTGGCCATGGACTCCAGCCTCCTGCTCCCTATCAGAGACCTCCCACAGAGCCCCTTCACCTGACTCTTCTCAGGCAAGCCATGATTCATGTGTGGTCAGCCCTCAACATTAGCTGAATTGATCTTGGTC